CATCCGCTCCTGCAGAGCTCACGGGTGACTGCTTTCGCTCGTGAGACGGACGCTTCCCACCATGACCGTGCAGGCGTCTGTTCACATTGCGACGCAGTTTACCACTCCATCTGCACAGGCCTATGTCATAAATTACAACAGAGAATCAACGGCGATGCGGAACTTCCATCTAGTGACAACTTACTGGGTTTTGGCCACAGGGCCTCTCCTGTCAGCTCGTCCCAGAAGATCCTGCTGTGCGCCCGGCAGAGGTCGTCACGGGCCTGGAGCGTCGGTGCCGCCAGGCAAGACACGGCCAGTCGCTCTCCGGAGGGCAGCGTCCTCTCCTCCAGCAGCTCCGCCAGCATGTCCACCTTCCGCTCCGCGCCCGCCGGCGATGAGAAGGCCGGCAGGGTCGCCAGCAGGAGCGCCGGCAGCGCCGGCAGCGTCAGCTTCATGGCCGCGCGGCGCAGGCGCAGTGGAGACGGCTGCCGGTCGACAGTGACGTCACGCCCACGTCCGGCCGAGGTGCGGGGCTGTCTGCAGGCGCCTGGGATTCACCGCGCGCTGAGGCGTGGGCGGAGCCAGACGGAGCTGCATCAGGTGACAGAGGCGGAGTTGGGGAGAACGTGACAGGCGGCCACGCCGCACAACGACGCACGTCTCGGAAATGCTACGGTTCCTCTGCTATGGTTGTGCATTGGAATGAACTATTTAAAAAAGGCCCCCTCCCCTTACACGCACCCGTTTTCTTGATCTTGTCTAACCGGGGAGAAGGTGCCCTACCCTGGCGGTGAGAGGGTGCCCAAGATTTATTACGGCATTCGTTATAAAATGGTAGCTAAATGATCACGACTTCCCTTGGCCTTGAACAGCACGAATTCTTTATGATGCCCAACTAACACTGCCAGCCGGGAACGTCAGCCAGCTGAGGGATAACTAGTATTTTTTCTTGCCTAACTCACACGAGCCCGGATGGGTGTCAGTTTGACCCCCGAACCTGGCCAACTTAATTTTATAAAAGGCCCCCTTACAATAAATGTTTTGGGGCCAACTTTATTTCAAAAATAATTTCCGAACGGCGCAGTGTAGCCGTGCCAAACTTTGCAGAGATGTAGGCAGTTGAGTAGCGAACCTTTTAATATCAAAATGGGGTGCGTTATGTCAGTTCCCTGACCTATGATAGGTCAAAGTCAGGCCATGGCTGTCAGTGAGGACAATTTCTGGGGAGCTTTCAATCTGATGCGACCACGGAGTGTTAGACGAAGCCATACATCTTCGAGATAGTGTCTTAGACCTCGAGATTCTCTCAAAGAATTTTCTCAGAAAATTGACTTTACGATTGCATCACGTTCTATTGACCTTGAGTCAGGTATGAAGGTCAAACCGAGGTCAAGAACAGCGTGCTTTTTATTGAATAGCCTTGTTAAACCCTCGCCCGGCCGGCGGAATATATGTCCCCTGAGATCTCCAACTCCCAGATGCCGTATGAGAAAAACAGGGGCACTGCTTCGAAGGACTCATCAGATAATGAAGAATGCATACTGAACTTTTGACTTGAGTTAAAATTGCTGAGGTCACCAGAGGCCACGAAAGGTAGGAGACGGTCGTTCCGATAGATGCAGTTAAAACCTATACTAACACGTCAAGATAGATATTGAGGGCATGGAACTAGGCTTGCAGGCTGCAGGGAGTCCACCCCGACCATTCCCCCCCCCCCCCCCATGGATCAGGAAAGACCGGGTTACCATTCAAAATTGTTGTATCAACAGTCTACAAAAACGATGCTTTTGGTTTTCGTAGACTAAAGCAGCTTGATGTCCTTCTGACTAAATATATTTGATTACATCCAGCTGCAGGATAAACGTATTTCGGACACGAGACACAACAACGCCATTTTCGGGTGGCCTAGAGGTCATCTGAGGTCAACTCAGGTTAAAATAATAAGTCATCCAAAAGAGAAAAAAACTGAAATGCTAACCGAGTATGTGACAAGAGTAATATTTTTCTGTGGTCAGAAATAATGTATTGTGCATCAGATTATTTGTTTTGTTTGCTACTTGCTCGACAAACAGCATACAATTGGTGATCTTAAAATAATTAACGAAGTACGCATTCTTTTCACGTGTAACTTATTGTACATGTGTATGGGGTGGCGCGATCGAGGGCCAGGTGCAGAGGATTCAAAAAGCATTTTAACTTTTCAAGAATTTTGCCACCAAGATTGCCTCTGGCATCAAAAGGAACTACATCATAACACTGGATCTGGAATCTCTAGACTGCCCCCAAGTTGATGACTTGGTGAAACAGAGGCATATTTGCAGGTACTCATATCTCGCAACTGTTGTCTACATTATGTATAGTCCCTTCCACACTTGACAATGCATCTGTAAGAATATGAGGACAAGTACTTTGGTGCATGAAATTGGACGTTATCAGCTTCACATTAGCAATAAGGAGGTGGTTACACACGTCGTACTCGTTTATCTAGTCTTTCCGCTGCTGATAACATAGTCTGCTGACTTGGGACGGTATTATATGACCTTGCATGTCCGTACATTACCTATTGTGACCTCATTTTGCATTCCAATGATATAAGAACATGTTTTCATTAAAGTTTTCGAATTATGCGTCCAAAATTATCCCTAAACCACCAATTTTGAGCTCAGTATGTGCTTTATAGAAGGCACGCATAGAGATCGGTCGTGACCTGGGCTAATGCCATGTGCTCTGTAATCATAAGATGGTTGTGCATGTAGGTTAGCACTTTTTCAATATAAACAGCAAAACTACACAAAAATTGTACAGTTTTGCATTATATACGAAAAAATCTCCAAAAAGCTGATCTCAGGTCAATAACCTTGCATTTTCCAAAACAAATCTGGAATCCAAAAAGGTACTATCATTTTCCGTTGCCTCAACGAGTTTGGACGACGAAAAATGATCCACATAAAAGTGGTGCGTGGTCAAAGCTTTTTAGAGGCTGACCTCTTTGACCGGGCATAAGTCACTGATCTTGGTGGATCAAATCTTAAATTTACTCAAATGATGCCAAATTGATAGGCGAACAGGTGCTGAAAATTTCGTGCTGCTTCTATTGTCTGTTTTGCCCTGTGCTCTAAAAACCGTAGGAGGAAAGCCAGCCTTCCCCAGGCCGTGCGCAGGTTAAAGGGTGGTTTCTAGTGCTTATTTCGAATTTCTGGATGACAGGGATCGCCGTAGAATCTTCCAAGCACTTATTAAAGGTCAAAGAGGCCTACTAGCCTAAGATCACCCAGATCAGTCTTTTGTGTTAGGAACATACCACAAAGCGTAATCTTTGACGATTATTAAAAAATTAAACGGGCTTGTCGGTTTTGGTCATTATACCTTCTACAGATCTAAAAAGGCAAATGGCCTAAAATGAACATCATTGATCATTTGCTTAAAAACGGCGTTTAGGCTCAAGGTTTTCGCCTTAGGCGGCACGAGAACACGTTTGATGCCACTGTGGAATCCGACATTGTTGGACTTTATTTGACCTAACGGTCATCGCCTAGGAACCTCCAATTTTGTCACTCCTGCGTTCACATATAGATTAAGCCGTCCTGTAAATTTGGTGTTCGTAGCTCTCTTAGTTTTTAAGATTTCAGAGGAGGCTCAAGTTCCTCCCCCCCCCCCCCCCCTCCGCCCAAGCGTATGGTATTCAACCAGCTAGCCGGGCCCGTGTTAAATCATGTTAGCACGCGATCAGGTGGTGAGGGGCAATTTGACACCGTGAAAGCTTTCGAAAATAACTTCCCGGCGCAGCGCTGTCGTGACAAATTTTCCGCAACTGTAGCCCATGAAGTATCCAGTCTTTTTGCATACAAAATAAATGTACATGGTATGCACGCTGACCTATGGTAGATTATAGCCAGAAGACAATTTCTAGGTTATTGTTCAATCTGATGCGACAAACGAGTGCTAGACATAGCTATTTATCTTTGAGGTGGTTTCGTTGACAATAAACAATGAATTCAGAATTTAAAGTAATTCCATTTACCTTGGACCATGCATAATGATAAGATCGAACTCAATGCCGAATTGCTTTTCTCAAGACCTTGCTTTGTGGGGTAGCTTGACGCTCACTTCGAATTCATTTTTCATAGACAAGCAAGCGATCGTTTTATTTGAATTTAATAAAGATCAGATGTTCAGATCAGTGACCCCGATCAATCTTTTGTTTTAGAAACACATAGCCTAGCGTGATTCTTGACGTATGTTGAACTATAAAAAGTCGCAGATTTTTGGTCACCATGACCTTCGTAAGGTCAAACAATACCGCTATCCTGAATTGACAACCAGTGATCTTCTGCTTCGTAAACATGTCTAGGTTAAAGATTGTTGCATACAAAGGCTTGAGAAAGCTTCAGACTACGATTTGGATTTGTTGGCGTGATTTGATTCCAAATTGTGATTCTCAACACTAACCTTTAAAACCAGAAAATACATCAAAGAAAGGAATGTTTCCACCTTCGCACTTTTTGTTCGGTCAATGACTCCGGAACGGAATGTCGAAACATTGGAGTTAAGTCGTTTCGTTGTACAAGCACCACCTTTCATCTTATGAAATAAAAAAACACCGTTTTTCATAATACATTGCAAATTAGAAGCATGCAATGATGCAGGTCAGTAGTGCTGGCATAAGACAATATCAACGATAATATGATAGCAGTATAACGATAGTAACGATAACGTAACGATGATAACAATATATTGCAACGACATTCAGCAAATGCCTTTTATGCTTCTTTACTGTTGAATACAGGAACATTTGTAACTTCATCATCTACAATGTGATTAGTCTCCCCTGCGCCTGCGCACAGGTGCACCGACCGATGACCAAAGTGACGCAGCAGCTCTCGAGCACTTTGATACCACGAAAGCTGACCTAAGCGTGCGCACGAGCGTCACGGGTCCATATCAGCGGCTCTCACCGCAGCCAGCGATAGTGACTATGTATCTGGCTGCGTCGTCAGCGAGCGCGCCAGTCTTGCCCCGCGTCGGCCAGCGCTCCTGGAGCGCTTCATCATGCGGCTCGTGGTGCCGGCCTTAGCGGTGCTCCTGCTGTCGCTGGTGGTGGGCGGCCGGGCCGACCGTCTCCCGTACCAGCTCCGCATGGGTCTACCGCCGCTGGCACCCCCCAGCGGCGTCTCCCTGGCCGACGTGGAGCGGACGGTGGACCTGCTGGCGGAGCTGATGGAGGAAAGGACGCTGCCCTCCGGAGAGCGGCTGGCCGTGTCCCGCCTGGCGGTGCCAACGCTCCAGGCCAGTGACGGCCTCTGCCGGGCGCACAGCAGAATCTTCTGGGACGAGCTGACAGGAGAGGCCCTGTGGCCAAAACTCAGTAAGTTCTCCACCGCTAGCTGTTCAATATCAAAATCACAATGTTCGTCCGCGTAGGCAGAATTGGGTCGTTCTGTCAGGTTACTTGATGGTGCGTAGAGGTAGAGCAGGGTGGGAAGAAGCTGTTCCGTCTTGCCAGCACGATGTCAGAAGTTAGTCATGATGTCAACTAGGCTCTGAATATCTGCTCTGACACAATCGCACAGAGTGCGAATGCTTTCGCATGGATTGGACGGTGACGCATGCTGATGTTAAGATCTTCCAATAATATCATTGCCACATGCATAGAACTACAACAGATGCCTGCTGCCATCGCCTTGTTCCTGTTTAAAGGGTTCGTAATGACGCTGATGGCTGCTGCGGGTTTGCAAATAACTCAAGCGCTCCGCCATCAGCGAGTGCTGGTTCCGCGCTGATCTGTAGCTGAATTTTTACAGGCCGTTTTCCAGAAATGTAGCGCAACGCAAGTTAATTTTCTTCGCGAATTTTTTTCTTCATTCTAGTGCTGGACGCCACCGGAAAGGTCTCCGACGGCATACTGGCAGGCAACGTCAACATTTTTGGATCGTTCGACGAATGCCAGTTTATCACCGTGGAGCTGAACGCGACCAAGTATCCAGACCTGCCTACCCAGGGGCTGCACTTCGTGGGTCGGTACGTGCCGGTGATCGCCTTCCCCATCATCGCGACTCGTGACAAGCATGACCTTCAAAAGGATCCCGCAGACGTCTCTGAGCACGACGACGATCTCGGTAGCGTCATCATCCTGCCCAGTGCCGGCATGCCTACCGGTGTCATCGGCATGTGCGTGCCGTCCAGCTGCTCCGGCGATGACGTGGCGCGCGGGCTACAGCTGCTGCTCGGCAGAAAGGTGTCCGTGTCCGCGCTCGAGTCGACGACGTCGGAGGATTCTGTGGAGTTCACGCCGCCGGACAGGGCCGTCATCACCATCATGGCCCTGTTCGGCGGTCTCATGGTGGCGGGCACCTGCCTGGACCTGCACTACAGGGGCTGCACCCGACGCCTGATGGCGATGCTGCAGCTGAAGCCGTGCGCATGCGTGCCCGGCGCCGATCCCCCGGCCGGCCAGCAGGGAGACGCGTCAGATACGTCCCAGCCGCCGAGACGGGCAGCGCCCGGGCGTCCTCAGCAGGCTCTGCTCGCCTTCTCGGTGTACACCAACACTCAGAAACTGTTGGACACCACGCCACGGGAGGGGACGCTCGCCTGTCTACACGGTATCCGGTTCTTCACCATGACTTGGGTTGTTCTAGGTCACGCATGTGGTGGTATAGTGCAATTCACTCAGAATGTGATAGTTGCCTATGATTACTTTAAAAGCCCACTGTTTGAGGTGGTAGCGAATGCCATGCCAAGCGTGGACACGTTCTTTCTGTTATCTGGCGTATTAGTGGCGTATGGTTTTTGCAACGTCTACGAGAAAACCAAGAAATTCAACCTACCTATGTTCTACATACATCGCTACCTGCGACTGACCGCTCCTTACGCTTTCATGATTGCTATTGCGTCCACCTGGTTTATTTACATAGGCGATGGACCAGTTTGGAGCTTTACCAAATCTTCAGGGCAGTTAAACTGCGTGAAGTACTGGTGGCGAAACCTGTTCTACATTCAGAACTTCTTCTCGGTTGGTGAGCAATGTCTGGCGCAGTCGTGGTACCTCGCTGTTGACATGCAGATGTTCGTGTTCGCGCCTCTAGTCCTGCTGCCTCTCGTATGGCGACCGGTGTTCGGCCTCGCCTGGCTCGGCCTCATCACGACACTCTTCCTGATCCTGCGCATGGTGCTTTGGGGTGTGAAGGACATGCCGCCCATACCGTTCGGTCTCAGGCCCGAGAATCAAGATGAGCTGATGAATCAGTACATGTACCCGTGGATGCGCTGCACGGTGTGGCTGGTAGGCATCGGGCTCGGCTTCCTCCTGCACAAGCTGCGCGGCAGACGAGTCACGCTGAGGCCGTGGCAGTATCTGCCCGGCTGGATCGCCGCCTTCGCCGTCGGCATCTCCGTCGTGTACGGCATGTACGGCTACCAGATGCCCTGGGACCCGACGCCGAGCAAGGCTGTGGCCGTGGCGTACGGCGGCCTGCACCGATTGGCCTGGGGCCTCGCCGTCTCCTGGGTTATTTTCGCCTGCGTCACCGGCTACGGCGGCGCCATCAACACGTTCCTCTCGTACCCGGGCTTTGTGCCCCTTAGTCGGCTCACCTACGCCGGATATTTGATACATATCAATGTCCTTTACTTCGGAATTTTCTCTTCCAAGGGCGTTCTGTACTACGATGGCTTACGACTGGTGTACTGGGTTCTGTCACAGGTCATTGTTACGTTCGCGTTTGCCTATGCCTTTTCGATGACTTTCGAAGCACCCTTTGTCGCCCTAGAAAAGGTAATGTTCTCAACACCGCCACCGAGGCACGAAAGCCATACCGATGCCCGTGCAAAGCAAGAGCGTGTTGACGCAGCGGCGAATGTGGAAGCAAAATAATGCAATCGTTTTGGAGCACCAGAGCACAGCGTGAGGTGTGTTCAGTCATCATAACGCCGTAAGACCAGATTAGGACAATAGCAACGGGATGACAAGATGCGATTTTTTAGTTGGGGGTTATCGAATTGAGACGATTGTCAGACTCTGATAAATGGGACCCCTGAATCTTGCTGCCCTGTCACCTTATCGCCCAGAGTCAGTTGTATTCGCTGACTTGTGACTGAAACTGGCATGTGTTGTGCTGTAGTGGTTGGCGTGGACCACGAAGCAGGGGAGGCGACGGAGGAACACTCCTTGGAAATACATTAGTTACGCGATCAAAGCATTTTTGACTTGAAGACCAGAAGGCATGAGCCCCGTGAACCTCAAGGATGCTTTTGCATGTTGTGCCGATGTTCTTACATGGCAACAAACCATGGATATGAAGAACGCTGCATTGCTAGTGTGCACCGTTCATGCAGGATGTGGCTGGAGCGTGCACAGCTTGCGTTATGAAGAAGGGCAGCCGAACCGCGTGAAGTACTGGTAGTGAGGCTTATTCTACATCCAGAACTTCTTCTCAATTGATCAGCAATGTCTGAGGCGGATGTGGTACTTGGCCATGACGTAAAGATGTGAGGCTGGATCGCCGCCTTCGCCGTCGGCATCTCCGTCGAGTACGGAATGTACGGCTACCAGATGTGCTGGAACCCGACGCCGAGCAGCAAGCAAGCACATGCTTGCGCGCTGTGAGGACTACCTCTCAAACGCGAGAAATCCTCTTTTTTCGCAGTCTGATTTCCGCGTGTTTCATTCGGGAGCAAGGACTGTACTTTCGGTCGTTCAGCTCGAATGGGCCTCTTGCGGCGAGACAGCTGACTGCCAGGGGCTAGCTAGCTCTCGGGCCTCACACGAACGGGCTCCGTCGCACGCGCGCGGAAATCCTCTCACATAACCTGAGCGGGCCCAGGACCATGACTCCCACCAGCTCTCGTTCTGAGCTAGACCCGGCTGGTGTCTCGCCCAGCAGACGCCAGCCGGGCGCAGCTCGGTCGCCGATGACCTCCGACGCACGCGCGTCGATGCCGATGAGCCACCGACGCGCGCGGAGATCCACAGTCAGAGCGCGTCGGGAGAGCGTGGCGGCGAGGGCGACTTCGGATGCGGGAGGCCGATGTGTGCGGTGCACCTGAGGCAGGTGAGAACGTGAGCAACTCTCCCTCCGTCCCGCTGACAGAGGGAGAGGTGGGGTTCAGCGTACCTGAGGCAGGTGAGAACGTGAGCAACTCTCCCTCCGTCCCGCTGACAGACGGAGAGGTGGGGTTCAGCGTACCTGAGGCAGGTGAGAACGTGAGCAACTCTCCCTCCGTCCCGCTGACAGACGGAGAGGTGGGGTTCAGCGTACCTGAGGCAGGTGAGAACGTGAGCAACTCTCCCTCCGTCCCGCTGACAGACGGAGAGGTGGGGTTCAGCGTACCTGAGGCAGGTGAGAACGTGAGCAACTCTCCCTCCGTCCCGCTGACAGACGGAGAGGTGGGGTTCAGCGTACCTGAGGCAGGTGAGAACGTGAGCAACTCTCCCTCCGTCCCGCTGACAGAGGGAGAGGTGGGGTTCAGCGTACCTGATGCAGGTGAGAACGTGAGCAACTCTCCCTCCGTCTCGCTGACAGAGGGAGAGGTGGGGTTCAGCGCACCTGAGGCAGGTGAGACACGCTGACAGAGGGAAAGGTGGAGCTCAGCGTACCCGAAGCAGGTGGAGCTTCCCGATAGGGAAAGCTGTGGGGCCCAGCGCACCTGAGGCAGGTGAGATATGCTGTTAAGGATCAAACCAATCTGACTCATAATAACAGGCGATCCGGGACGAGTTCTGCTCGATGTACGCCATGCAGTTTTTGAATTAAGTGATATGATTTATAAGATGTGTTGCGACCGCATCTTTCTGTTGGAACTTGGCTTAATTTGGTGACGCAGACCCGAAAATTAATATCTTCCGAAACAGTTCTCCGCAGCTCGACATAAAAGCGCGAATTGACAACAACAGCACAGACAGAAGGTCAATCACAAGGTCAGAGGTCAATCTGGCGCACTCACAGCTGGAACATTGTTTTGGATGTCACAGTCATTAGTCATCACACGAGTCACCTAAAACCGTGAACGCTTTTTCGGGGTGCAAGAAAGTGAATGTTGAATAGAACTTCGGGAAACATACATTGATGACCGCAATGTCATAACTGTTGCTTCACCGGTCGCATCAGACAACAATGATGACCCCGCCGTCATTACTTGGGGGGAGGGGTGTTGCCCTCGAGACTATTTGCCATTCCTGTAGCTTCTGCGCCATTATCGGTAGCAACTGCGTCGAGAAAGAACAACGCAAATCTGCAAAACAAATGACAAAAAAAGAAAGAAATCTGCTAACGGTACAACGGTTTTCACAGGTTCCAACGAAGATTTGTACGTTTCTACAGTTTTGAACAGGTCTTTGGCCGCGTAGGTCCGGTGGTGCACTGTATTCTGGTTAAATGTGACGCTCATGCTTTGACGTGTCGCACGTGACACGTGTAAACGTACCCCGTTCATTCAACATGGGAAACGTGAATTTAAAAAGTTGTCAAAAAACACAAAACGGCGGGCGAAACCCCGGTTTCTTTTCTGGCAACGAGGAAGCGCAGCGAAGCAAAACCAGGACATTTAAACTCCGCAAAGAACGGACAATTGCGCTGGCGGACGCATGGACCAATGCGTAAGGTGGTGCGTGTTTGCTCTGGCCAGAACCACGGACCTAACTTTATAAGGCGTTTTTCAGGCTTGATGTTAGACCTTGACAGTCCTGGCAGATGAACCCATGAGATCAACCGCACGATGTATGCGTGTGTACAGCACCCGCGCAGGCCAGCACAGGCCGACCCGTAGCTATGCACTTGGCAGGATGCCCATGTCGTCTTGGCAGCTTGCCGATCTAAACCGATCTCGACTGCAGCTCGCTGTTGCATTAACAGAATGAAGTGGGGACGTCCAGATGGCACAAGCGCTGCTGTCTTAGCAGAGCGAGATGGAGATGTCCAGATGGTACAAGCGCTGCTGTCTTAGCAGAGCGAGATGGAGACGTCCAGATGGCACAAGTGCTGCTGTCTTAGCAGAGCGAGATGGAGACGTCCAGATGGCACAAGCGCTGCTGTCTTAGCAGAGCGAGATGGAGACGTCCAAATGGCCCAAGCATAAAATCCAAGTGATCATGACCAATATTAACCCGCGATATTTGTGTGCCTCTTAAAACGTCGGTAACAATAGCCCAAAACGCGACCTGCCGCAAATTCGCTGCTTTCGTCGATTCAAAGAGTCACGAACGTTTGCTGACCTGCCAACAGCCGTGAATTAGCTGTACACTAGCGTACGTCTATCGAAGGTGCTGTGCGCCAGCGGATATGACGGTACAGACGTGTGACTGGGCGTTCGGTGGTGCCGACGTGTGACTGAGCACTCGGTGGTACAGACGAGTGACTGAGCACTCGGTGGTACAAACGAGTGACTGAGCATTTGGTGGGACAGACGTGTGACTGAGCATTTGGTGGGACAGACGTGTGACTGAGCACTTGGTGGGACATACGTGTGACTGATCACTTGGTGGGACATACGTGTGACTCATCACTTGGTGGTACAGACGTGTGACTGAGCGCTCGGTGGTACAGACGTGTGACTGAGCACTTGGTGGGACGGACGTGTGACTCATCACTTGGTGGGACGGACGTGTGGCTGAGCACTTGGTGGGACATACGTGTGACTGATCACTTGGTGGTACGGACGTGTGACTGAGCGCTCGGTGGTACAGGCGTGTGACTGAGCACTCGGTGGTGCCGACGTGTGACTGAGCACTCGGTGGTACAGACGAGTGACTGAGCATTTGGTGGGACAGACGTGTGACTGAGCACTCGGTGGGACGGACGTGTGGCTGAGTACTTGGTGAGACATACGTGTGACTGAGCACTCGGTGGTACAGGCGTGTGACTGAGCGCTCGGTGGTGCAGACGTGTGGCTGAGCACTCGGTGGTACAGGCGTGTGACTGAGCGCTCGGTGGTGCAGACGTGTGGCTGCGCACTCGGTGGTACAGGCGTGTGACTGAGCGCTCGGTGGTGCAGACGTGTGGCTGAGCACTCGGCGGTACAGGCGTGTGACTGAGCGCTCGGTGGTGCGGACGTGTGGCTGAGCACTCGGTGGTACAGACATGTGACTAAGCGCTCGGTGGTACAGCCGTGTAACATCACTCGGTAGCTTGAGGTCGTATGGACACTGGACCAAATGATTCGACAGAGACAACGGCGTGCAATCGTGCTCACAAATATGCACGTTCCCATGGGCAGAGGGCCGTGTGCTATCGAGCGCCATGCACAAGTTGTCAGTTGTCTCGCAGATCATGTGATATGTCGATAACAGTTTAAGCCGGTATCACCACGTACCCAGTAGCCTGTGATGAACGTCTCCGCTGGCTGCTCGGGAAATGTTCTTCTGACAGATTGTCGAGCCGCCGAGCGCAGCTGGATGTCTTAATTCGAATATCGATGCCTGGCGCACAACGGCAATAAGACGGCAGCGCCTATGGTATGCTACTCTCTCCGCTCTGCACCGCGGACGCCTGGGTTGTCAAAAGTTCTCCGCCCTTGCAAAATTCGTAGTGCTACGGCTAGTCGTGGCCACTGTCAACAAGGAAGCATCGAGGGGATACCAGTCACACAACTGAAAACGTTCCAGGTGGCACCAAGAATCACCGAATATCTGAGGCCTGGGCGTCACTTTGTATACTTTGGGGGCCTAAGCCTCCCCACAATGCTGACTAAACCCCTCCCCCAATGTTCTTCTGAACCCCGCAATAGGCGAAAAGGGGATACTGGGCCAAATAAGTGCAGCACAGTTGTTTTAATTAATGGTATACTAGGCAGTAGGTACCTAAGCACACCACTATTAGTATAATGCTTATTTTGTGCCAAATAGTATTTTGCATGCGCCTTGCCTTTTTGTAAAGATAACTCCCTCATATAGTGAGCCAGCCTGCAAATGTTTGACATTTGTGGCGTATGAGGTAGTTTCCGGTGCTCATTTCGAATCTATTGGCAATAGGAACCGCATTGTGCATCTTCCATGGGGCTTTTAAAGGGTAGAGGCCTAAAATGACTCTGGTTCACAGCTGTCTTTGCGAGCGTGCTGCCAAGTGTAATATTTGGCGCTTATTCAAATGCAAAACTCGGAGCAGTCTCGTATGATTTTGGACACCATGCCATTCGAAAGGTAAAAAAGTCACTGACTTTAAATGAGCATGAGTGACCTTTTGCTTAGAAAATA